GTCGGAAAATTTAGTTTCTCTTATTATATATATTAGTTTATGCTATTTACTCACTATAACAGTTTTCACTCAGCCTGTTTCACCTGCAGCCACACAATTCCCTTGCGTGACGGTGTTTGTAGATCAGACATAGTTTCTTTCCTAAACAAACCAGATTCCTTTTCAAGGTTTATTCATAACATGTTACTGTTTAACCAAAGTGTCTGTAATTAGTTTTGACTCTGATAACTTTCCATTTTTGTAAATAAGGGGAAACGAACGCTGCTGAGGCAGAACAGGGCTGATTACCGAGCAATAAGGGCCGTATGATGAACTGCTCTCTCTTTGCAAAAACAAAAATAAAGTGCAGAATGAGTGAAATCCATTGATTTAACTGGAGTAAATAAATACTTTTTCCCACTACAGCAGTGTTCAAAGAAATGTTGGTATTCAGCAACAGTGGAGCTTAGAATCCCTCTGTTCACGACCATCTGAAGGTTTTCATAAAGGTTGATCTCAGGTCTTATGCTACCGTTTGAACAGGACATCAGTTTAAAGCCGTTTTTAACCAAATTCTTCTATTTTGTTGAAAGTGTCACATTTTCAAGAGGAGTAAACGGAGAACACCACAAGAGGTACACTTTCTTTTTTCACTTATTAGAACCACGTTTCCATCTAGAATCTCACAGAAACCATTTTACCACCATCATCATTATAGTAGCAGTTCTCATCAACATTGTCCATGTTGGATGTTTCACTTCCATCTCATCCTCAGTCATTCAGTTAAAAAATAAGCTAACACTTCCAGCATGGCAGACGGGAGAGTCTATGAGCTTTGATGCATGAATTTCTACACTTTTATCCATTCCTAAAAATAAAACACCATGAAAACAGAACAGAATAAATGTGTTAAACAGAGTGATTAGGTTAAGTCGGCCTATCGGTCCTGTTTCAGACGTCCTGCTCAGTTCTAAGACGTATTGATATGGATGTAATCCAACATGTTTTTATCCCCAAACATCAGAGTGACTTTCTATGCATAAATATGTAAATTGAATATAAGTATTTATCTAAATACCTTCAGGTATTAACTGATATACCAAATATATTTTGTGATATTTCAGGTATAAAGGTACATATTAGAAGGCAAAGTGGACCTTGCAGCTAGGCTTTTAGCTAGCAATGCGTACAGGCG